TTTAAAGAGATGCCAGAAACAGAGCTCTCTGGACAAGTATTTAGTGCAACAGGTGTACAGTGACTCTCAAGCTGGTCCTAGTGACATTAAGAAACAGAGAAGAGAAGTAACCCCAGAAAAGCACTTGGTACCTGAGGTGTTGATGGAAGAGGATTCCCCTTCCAAACAGTAACTAATCCAATCTCCCTCCTCCTCCAGTCTTCCATACACTAAGAAGAATCGCCAATAAAAGTAAGTGTTATGCTGTTAACCCTTTCTGAAACTGTCATTCTATGTCGTAAAATTTTTGGAAAAAAAAAAATTATTTTCTCTTATGAAATGATAAGAGAATCTTTCCCTGATGGTAATGACACCAAAAGTATGAAATTTGGTCGAAAACTCACGGACTTACGCTCCACCGAAGTTAGCGGTCTCGGCGACATATACATATCGGTGATTTCGCCAACTTTGAACCCTGTTTTTGGCCAATTCCGTTGTTCCAGTTGACCAAACTCATAGCTATTTCTTTAGAACTCCATTTTTTCTATCAATTGAGTACAAGAAACTGTCCATTTACTGATTTGAACTACCCAATAAAGTGGTCAGAAATTGGCAATTTGGCAAATTTCACGCAAATTAAAAAAGATGCCAATTTCAAAACAGGGTCCAGAATAAACAATGTAGACATTCTTGGCACTAAAATAACATATCCTCTGTTCATTAGTCATGTCTCTAGGCCCCTCTTATATTACTATTGGTTTCTATTTTGATTTTTTATTCATACAAAAAATACAAAATTTACTGCTATGCACACTACTGCATTATTGTAAAAATGGTATAAGTAATATCAGTGCACTAGTTAAAGAATATTCGACTCCCCAGTTGACGTGTATTGGACATGTGGTGTGATTTGCTTATTCTTGAACATTGGTAAAAATCGAACATTTCTGCTACTTTGAGCTCAATTTCAAGGTCGTTTTCATCGTGAAACTAATGAAAATCATCTCTATTTCTGCGATATTTTCCATTTTATCACATGAGACCATGAAAACGAGAATACAACGATAAATACTATACGAAAATACACCTAAAAGTTGGCATTTTAATCCAAAAAAACGGTCAGTTTTTTTTTCTCATTATGCACTACTTGGTGCAAGGTTTTTTGTGTGACGCACACTGACCACACAAACCCATTTTCTCACATGTGGGCCTATCAGCTTTCTCCTGCTTGATTTGAAGCCGCTAGAATTATTGAGTATATATACATCCGAAACACTGGCTCGTAAGACGTATATATACAGTGGTCCCTCGTTTATCGTATTTAATCCATTCCTGGAGGTGCTACTATTATCGAAATCTATGATTTGCGAATCAATTTTCCCCATAAGAAATAATGTAAATACAATTAATCCGTTCCTGACACCCAGAAGTATTAAAACAAAAAAATTTTTTACATGAAATATAGATGTAGTACATAAACAATACAATGGGACATGATGAATGAAACATTAACAGCATAACACTTACCTTTATTGGCGATTCTTCTTAGTGTATGGGTGACTGGAGGAGGAGGAGAGATTGGATTATTTACAGTTTGGAAGGGGAATCCCCTTTCATCAACACCTCAGGTACCAATTGCTTTTCTGGGGTTACTTCTCTTCTCTGTTTCCTAATGCCACTAGGACCAGCTTGAGAGTCACTGGAGTCCTGTCTCGCAAAATAACTGTCCAGAGAGCTCTGTTTCTGGCATCTCTTTAACACTTCCCTAAAATGGGCCAAGACTTTGTCACTGTACATGTTGCCAACATGGCTTGCAACAGCCTTGTCAGGGTGATGTTTCTCCATAAATCTTTCCATCTTACCCCACATTTCAAAAATCTCTAATTTCTGAAGAAGGCAACTTCTTCCATCTCTCTTCCTCCTACGTTGTGGTCTTCCACCAACTCTTCCACATCCTCCAAACACACATCCAACCCCATGGAACTCCCCAGTGCCACAGTAGATTTAACGACAGACATAGGCTCATCAGGGTCAGCCCCAAACCCTTCAAAATCCCTCTTGTAGACACAATCTGGCCACAATTTTCTCCAAGCAGAGTTCGAAGTCCTGGTAGTCACTCCCTCCCAAGCTGTACCTATTAGGGTTATGCAATGGAGGATGCTGAAGTGTTCTCTCCAAAAATCTCTTAGGGTCAAGTGAGTGTCTGAGGTCACATTCAAGCACCTTTCAAACATTGCTTTGGTGTAGAGTTTTTTAAAGTTTGCAATGACCTGCTGGTCCATGGGCTGGAGGAGAGGAGTGGTATTCGGGGGCAAGAACTTACTGTGATGAACCAAAACTCCTCAAATATTAGGTCATCCAAGTTTGGAGGACGAGCAGGTGCATTGTCCATTACTAGGAGGCACTTGGGATCCAATTTCTTTTCCAGGAGGTAATTCTCCACACTAGGGCCAAACACTTCATTGAACCACTCAACGAAAATTTCCCTCGTGACCCATGCCTTACTATTAGATTTCCAAAACACACACAATTTACTCTTCATAATATTGTTTTTCCTGAACACTCTGGGATTTTTAGAATGTTACACTAGTAACGGCTTCACTCTGAAATCCCCACTAGCATTTGCACAGAACATGAGTGTCAGCCTGTCTTTCATAGGCTTGTGTCCTGGCAGTGCCTTTTCCTCCTGTGTAATGTAGGTCCTCTTTGGCATTTTCTTCCAAAAGAGGCCTGTTTCGTCACAATTGAACACTTGTTCAGGTTTCAGTCCTTCAGCCTCTATGGACTCCCTGAATTCATGCACATATTTTTCAGCCGCTTTGTGGTCCGAACTGGTAGCCTCACCATGCCTTACCACACTGTGTATGCCAGTACGGTTCTTAAATCTCTCAAGCCAACCTTTGCTGGCCTTAAACTCACTCACATTGCAGGCCTCCAGCAGCAATAGCCTGGTTGACCAGGCAAGTACCAGATGAGCCTGACCCATGGCCAGGCTCAGAGAGTAGATTAACTCTCGAAACTCTTCAAAGGTATATCAAAGTAATATTATACAGTTTCTCTGGCAGTGTTATACTAGAGAGAACATGTTATTGTAATTATTACTGTACACTCCTACAAGCCACCCAGCTACCACACCTCACAATTACATCAATTTGTTATAGTATGGTTGTATATATGATATGTAGAGAGTTTCTAATATAATTTTGAAAAAATGTCATAGATGGGTTAATGAAAATGTCTATAATGAGACAACATACGACATTGAAAGTGCCCCAGAGCAATTATTATTATTATTATCCTATTGCGTCAACACTAGTGAAACACTCTTAGCTACTATCTCACCTGGCATAGCTACTCCTACTTTGTAACAATGCTAACTGTGATTTTAATGTACCTGCACGCCAGCACAGTGTGTAAGTTTATTTAGGTACAAGAACATACACATAAGTACAATTATCAGTACTATCTCAGCCATAGATATACCTTGCTTACTGAGTTTAATAATTTCTAACTTTACACTTAAAGTAAGAGCCTTATGACTCCTCTTTTTATCACATCTACCCTTAGATGTCATTTTAACACGAAAAGAGTACAGCAGTACCCCCAAATTCGTAGGGGTTACGTTCGAAGACCACCCATGAATTTGGAAAAACTGTGAATTCTGGACGCTGTTAGAAAAATGCCTATTTTTATAGTTTAAACCCTAAACATGCCCCTAAAACACTTTTATTTCAAACTCATCTTCATACTTCAGCCTTAAAAAAAAAAAAATGTAAAGATAAACCCATATACAGTACTGTACTGCTATGTCTCCTGCAGTGCTAGAATGCAAAATACCAGTTACCCCCATATATACTGTAATTCATGCAAGCCCATTTTCTTTGTTATATGTACAATAAATACGTATATGGTAATAATTTAATTTTGTATTCTCTCTACAGCACTACAAAATTCATACAGTATATTTTATATGGAAATTTTGCTGAATTTACATTAATATTTATGTTACAAAATTATTAAATTATATTTTTCTTAACATTCAGTGTTAACCCTTAAACGGTCCAAACGTATATATACATTCACGCGCGTAGCGCCCCAAACGTATATACAGTGGACCCCCGGTTAACGATATTTTTTCAATCCAGAAGTATGTTCAGATGCCAGTACTGACCGAATTTGTTCCCATAAGGAATATTGTGAAGTAGATTAGTCCATTTCAGACCCCCAAACATACACGTACAAACGCACTTACATAAATACACTTACATAATTGGTCGCATTCGGAGGTGATCGTTATGCGGGGGTCCACTGTATACGTTTTCTTTGTCATTCATTCAACATTGCCACAATAAGCCTGAGTCACCTAGACATGAGAGAATGGGTGTGTGCACTCACTGTGTTCTATATTAAAATAATTGGGGATGCCTGGGTACCATATGCTCTTTTTTCCTTTTAATTAAAAGAAAAGATTTCTTTTTTCCTCAAAAAATTTGGGGCGCTACGCGAGTGAACGTATATATACGTTTGGACCGTTTAAGGGTTAAAACACACAAAAAATTATATATTGCCATGAAGAAAGCCCCAAAAAATTACACAAATCTGTGGGGATTTCCACGAACAATTATAATTTATTAGTTAGGCTCTACAGAAAAATCTGCAAATTGATGAAGCTGTGAATTCATGGGGGGTCCACTGTATATATAAAATATGAAGTAACTTTAAAACACCTGAAAGTCTGGAGAGTTTCCAGACATAACCAAGAGAGATGCAGAGCTCATGGAGGAGGTAAACAAACTGAGAGTGAATGGGTGGTGAGTGGACACTGTAACAGCAAATCAGGTGCCATATAAAAAACTTGAAATGTCAGTGTTAGCGAAGTGCCATAAAGTGAGGCTCTACTGTACTGCATATCAAATTTTATTCTAGATTACGACATTCAAATTAAATTTAATTTACAATATAAAGAATCCACTCATTTTTCCTTAAAATTATTAAGAGCCCCCAAAAAATATTTACATTACCTTGCCAACAGCCAGTCCACCAAGGACAGACATGGTGACTCCGACAACTTTGCTCAGTAAGGTCTTAATTCTTACAACTCGTGGCACCTTCACACCATTCAGGTAACACTTCACTTGAGGAATGCCACTGCCCGTTGACACAGGCTTTGCAAGAATAAGTGCATTAGAACAAAAAAAAAAAATGGTAATAGTAATTACATATTTTACTATCATATGAACAACATAACATTAAAGTTTATATTTAGTATCCTCTGTCAAGTAACCTTACAGATCATGAAGAAGAAAAAAAAGAAGAGTGAAGAAAGAAATAAATACAAGAAGAAAAAATAAATAAAAAAGGAAAAAGTAAACAAAAAAATGAAGAGATAAAAAAAAAAGTAAAACTGGTGTAATGAGGTGAAAATGGCTGGAATGGAGAAAAAACTTTCATATGAAAGGTTTTCACAATGTAAAAAGGTGGATGACATGGAGGAGAGAGGTTAAAAAGTGGTTAAGCAGTACATAAGAGGAGCAACTGAAAGGTTATTGATTCAAGATCAGCATTTAATATCAGTGTATCAGCACCTGTGGAGACAAAGAACGTTATCCATGGAGGCAGAAAGGGAACGTATGAGAGTATAGTGGTACCAATGCTGTGTGCGTAAATTTTTTTTTACAATTTTCCTATAATTAGTAATATGTATGTGAAGTGTTAATATAAAGTAATATAAATATGAAGTACAGTGGTAATCGCAAACTACAGTGGACCCCCGCATAGCGAACTTAATCCGTGCAAGAGGGCTGGTCGTTATGCGAAATGTTCGCTATGCGAATTAATTTTCCCCATAAGAAATAATGGAAATAAAATTAATCCGTGCAAGACACCCAAAAGTATGAAAAAAAAATTTTTTTACCACAAAAAAATGTTAATTTTAGTACACACAAACTGAAAAAGGCATGCACAATTACATGACACTTACTTTTATTGAAGATCTGGTGATGATTGATGGGATGGGAGGAGGGGAGAGAGAGTGTTAGTGTTTAGAAGGGGAATCCCCTTCCATTAACACTTGAGGAGGCAAGTCCTTTTCCGGGGTTACTTCCCTTCTTCTTTTAATGCCACTAGGACCAGCTTGAGAGTCACTGGACTTCTTTCTGTCCATAGAGCTCTGTACCTCCCGTTCCTTTACGATTTGTCTAAAATGGGCCATAACATTGTCATTGAAATAGTCACCAGCACGCCTTGCAACAGCTGTGTCAGGGTGATTTTCATCCATAAAGGTTTGCAGTTCAACCCACTGTGCACACATTTCCTTAATTTTTGAAGTAGGCACAATGGATTCCACAACTGGCATAGGCTTCTCAGGGTTAGCCCCAAACCCTTCAAAATCTTTCTTAATTTCCATACTAATTCTCACCCTTTTTACCACAGGGTTGGCACTAGAAGCTTTCTTGGGGCCCATGGTCACTTATTTTCAACAAACAGAACCGAAAACACTGTAATAATACGAAATATTCCGAGTGTATGCTTGAATGTTACCGCGGAGGCTAGCTGGTAAACAATGGGACAGGCGGCACATGTGAGGCTGGCCGAGGCCGCACATTGGACGCGTCTCGGACGAAGTTCGCTGAGCGGGTTTTTGTCTACTATGCGGGGCAAAATTTCAGCGAACAAAGCGTTCGCTATGCGGATTGTTCGCTATGCGATGCGTTCGCTATGCGGGGGTCCACTGTACTTGTGAAGAAGCGAGCGAGCGCCTCTAACTGAATGGGGGAGGAGGGGTTGGGTAGATGGCAAAGAGGAGTGTTGGTGACACGGGTGTGGAAGGTTGACTGCTGGTCGTCTCGGCTCTTTATTTGACCCAAGGGGAGAGGTCATAAAAAGAAAACTGAATCTGCAGTACTGCCCGGGTAGCCGTTTGGAGAGGTGGTGTATTAGCTATTTCAAGGAACTGGAAATTGGATAAATCTTCAAATGAAATTAACTAAGATGTAATAGAAGCAGTATCGTCAGAAATTGATGAAGTTTACACCATATGTAATATACGCCTCCCAGTGTGTTAATTTTCACTAGAGGTATGTTAATTTATATTGGCCAATATGAACTGCCTACCGAAAGAGACGTTAGGATAAAACATCAAATCATCATAATTTGGTGAGTAATTTTGAATTTTTTTTTTTTTCAACAAGTCGGCTGTCTCCCACCGAGGCAGGGTGACCCAAAAAAGAAAGAAAATCCGCAAAAAGAAAATACATTCATCTTCATTCAACACTTTCACCTCATTCACTCGTGTAATTGATTTGTATTTATCCAGGTAAATTACTCAGGTCAAGTAATTGATATTACGGAATATATAGTCCACACATAATCTGTCAGTGTTACTGGCATAATTTTTCAAATAAATTGAAGAACTATATGTTCTAATAGTAATTTAAGGTCCAGACGTGTAAGACATGATGAACTGAGAAGGTAGGCATGAAGGAGGGACATTATTGTGACATCAATATCATTAAGTGTTAACTGTTTGATGTACCAAAGTTTCTTCACAATTATGGGGGTGAAATGTTAATTCAGGACACTGCCTGTAAAATTTAGCAATATAATTTCACAGCACCTGTGGAGACAAAGAACGTTATCTATGGAGGCAAAAAGGGAATGTATGAGAGTATAGTGGGACCAATGCTCTTATATGGGTGTGAAACATGGGTTATTAATGTTGCAACGAGGAGGAGACTGGAAGCAGTGGAGACGTCCTTTCTGAGGGCATTATGTGGTGTAAATATTATGCAGAAAATTCATAGTTTGGAGATTAGGAGGTGCAGGGTTACTACAAATATTAACCAGAGGGCAGAGGAGGGGTTGTTGAGGTGGTTTGGACATTTAAAGAGGTTGGAACAAAATAATGGGAGGTTGTATAAATGTGGTGCAAGGAAAGAGGGATAGAGATTGTCTTAGGAAAGGTTGGAGTGTGGGAATAAAGGAAGTTTCGTATATAAGAGGCTTGGACATCCAACAGGTGTGTGTGAGCATGTTAGGTATGAGTGAAGGCAAGTGGTTTTTTATGACTTGACGTGCTGGTGGAGTGTGAACAAGATAACATTTGTGAAGGGATTCAGGGAAACTGGTTAGCCAGACTTGAGTCTTGGTAGTGGAAAATGCAGTACTTGCACTCTGAAGGAGGGGTGGGCATACTGCAGTTTGGAGGGACATCTGAACTGTAGCATCGGCATAGCTCCAGCAAGATATTAATGTAGTGAGTGATGGTGAAAGTGTTTCTTCTTTTTCAGGTCCCCCTACCTTCGTGGGAGACAATTGGTGTGTTAAAAAAAAAATCAGCAGATAGGTTATGAGTAACAATAATGAGATGCTGATTGAAGAGGCAGAAGTACTGTATTAGAGGGATTTAGAGAATCACTGATTTTAGTTGCTGGATGTAAATTATGGAACAGTAAAAAGAGGAATGTGAATTTTTGAGTGAGGACAGAGTCAGAAGTCAAAATGATTGAGGGAATGTTAAGACTCCCTCTTTCTTAAGCCTTGCCAGGAACAAAACTACCGCTTTCCTCGTAATGAATAACCAGACAAGGCAGGAAATGGATGTGTTTTCTTCTCTGGGTCACCCTACCTTGTTAAATGGTCAAGAAGTTAAAAAAATATGTATTATTTAATAAACTGACAATTACATTACAATAAGAAATTACTCACCTCTATATATGACCCAAGAAAAGCAGCGATTAGAGTTGGTCCAATATTCAAGGCACCCCATAGTAAAAATGGAATAATTAGTAAGGACTTTTCTACACCATAATCAGTATCTGATGCTAGAGTTAAGGAAAGAAAATTTCAGGGACATATGATAAGAAATACAATAAAATGAATTGACATGCAGAATTATTAGTTCAAATTATCAATGAGGCACATTTATAATCATTCATAAATTTTGTACTGTGTATAGGTACAACACAGTATTACTGCTTATTATTTTCCATGGCTTCCTATCTTTCTGCAGTGCCACAGACACTTTTTTGAAAAGGCTATGGTTATTATCCATATACAGTAGTACCTCGGAACTCAAACTTAATTCATTCCAGAAGACTGTTGAGTGCCGATCTGTTTGAGAACCAAATGAATTTTTCTGTAAGGAATAATGAATAATTCTTTTTTCATCTCTATTGTGACTCAAACCAATTTTCTTTTTGGTTGGCTGTTATCACTAATCTTCTTAGGCCCCATGGTGACTTATTTATACAACATAAAAAAACACCAAAAAATGTGAAGAAACACGAAATAGTTTACAGCAAAGTTCAGCAGAGTTTTGCACTGAGCAACAGCTGCAGGGAGACTGGCACACATTGTTTAGTTGAGTGCCAAACAAACGGTCAACTACCAAGCAATTTTTTTTTACCGAACAGAGTGTTCGAATACCGAACTGTTCGAGTACCAAGGTACTACGTATTGTACTTTACTACTACTTGCAGCTTTTCATCCATGATTAATTTCATCTTCCTGAATCCTAGATATGTCTCCCTCTTAACCTTTTCGCTGTCGAGACCCCTGCTCACAAACTTGCTCTCAGTGTCGAAGAATTTAAAAAAAAAAATTCTTATGAAATGATAGAGAATCTTTTCCCGGTGATAATGACACCAAATAGTATGAAATTTGATGGAAAGCTTATGGAATTATGCTCTCGCAAAGTTAGCAGACTTGGCGATATATACACATCAGTGATTTTGCCCAATTTGAGCCCTATTTTTGGCCAATTCCATTGTGGTCAGAAATTGGCAATTTGGCCAATTTCACACAAATTTCAAAAGATGCCAATTTCAAAACAGGGTCCAGAATAAACAATGCAGACATTCGTGGCACTAAAAATAACATTTACTCTGTTCATCAGTCATGTCTGCAGGCCCCCCTTACATTACTCTTGCTTTCCATTTTGAATTTTTATTCACACAAAAAAAATAAAAGATTTACTGTTATGCAGGCTACTGTATTATTGTAATAACTGTATAACTGACCAGTTGAACAAGTATTGGATGGTGATGTCATTTGTTTACTCTTGAACATCAGCAGAAATCGAACATTTCCGCTACTTTGAGCTCAATTTCAAGGTATAATTTACTTTGTGAAACCAATCAAAATCATCTTTATTTCCATAATATATCTTTCATTCTATCAAATGAGACCAAGAAAAAGTTAATACAACCATAAATACCATACAAAAATGCCTCAAAATTGGGGTTTTAAACCAAAATTTTTTTTTTTTTCTCATTATGTGCTGCGTGCTGCAGGATTTTTTTTATACTGTGCACACTGACCAGCTAGAATTTTGGCGTAGTATTATGAGACCAACAATGGCTTGCAAGCCGTAATATTACAGGACCGACAGTGAAAGGGTTAATGTTTGTATTTTGCACACACAGGTCAAGGTTGAGAGTACTGTAGAGATAGTGGATTGCGGAAATCCCTACACACACATCAATGCACTAATTCTAAAACCTGTATCATGTTTCTTCACAATTTCTTGTTTGATCTTTACAGAAACTGCCTGTTTACTATGCATTTTAGGGGCCATGGTGACTTGGTAACACAAAATATGACATAATGAAATTGCAGATGCCTATAATATCTCAAAACTTTTCATCACAACTCAAAACTGTAAATCATAACTCAAAATTATTATAATTCCAGTCTATCGTAGCTCAAGGGACAACTGTATTATAAAAAAAAAATTGCTACTGTAAAATCATAGTACAGCTTCTCCTCACTTATCAATGGAGTTCCATTCCTAAGACCATGCCAGTAAACAAATTCATCACTAATTGAGAAAATCACCCCTTACTGACACCGCAAAAGTGTCACCACCCAAAATTAAAATATTCAGTTTTATGTTTGCTGGGAAATTCCTTTCAATCTGTTTATTATTAATGGTAATACAACATGAAATAGGTTAATGACTTACTTCTGAGATATTCCAGGAAACGTGTGCATATCCGATTACTTGAGAATTTTCTTTTTAGAGAAAATTGCACTTTTTTCAGTCTTTGCATAAGATATGAGTGATCTATAGTTACCCTTCAGGCATATAGTCGCGGTCACTTTTTTTTTATCCTTCCCTGCCCTCCATCCTTCAATACCTCTCTATATAATGTCAGTTTTTATTATATTGGGCATTTTTATCATGCTTCTATGTTATTTATGTTATTCTTTTCTTTCAACACACTGGCCGTATCCCACCGAGGCGGAGTGGCCCAAAAGGAAAAACGAAAGTTTCTCCTTTTACATTTAGTAACATATACAGGAGAAAAGGTTACTAGCCCCTTGCTCCCAACATTTTAGTCGCCTCTTACAACACGCATGGCTTACAGAGGAAGAATTCTGTTCCACTTCCCCATGGAGATATGAGGAAATAAACAAGAATAAGAACTAAAAAGAAAATAGAAGAAAACCCAGAAGGGTGTGTATATATGTGCTTGCACATGTATGTGTAGTGTGACCTAAGTGTGAGTAGAAGTAGCAAGACGTACCTGAAATCTTACATGTTCATGAGACAGAAAAAAGGACACCAGCAATCCTACCATCATGTAAAACAATTACAGGTTTTCGTTTTACACTCACTTGGCAGGATGGTAGTACCTTCCTGGGCGGTTGCTGTCTACCAACCTACTACCTATTATTTATGTTATACCTAATATTACTCTGAAAGAAATATGATAGGTAGATAACCTTTATTGATAGTAATAGTATAATTATACAATATTTTATAGTGCTGTGAGCTCATACCTCCATACGTCATGGTGAACCATAAGTTACTGAGAGACACTGCTCGTGCCTTCTCCTTCTCTCTCACATAGCCCCGCCCACCCTCCAATATCTCTCAATATAATGTCAGTTTTTATCAATTTGGGCATCTTTATCATGCTTCTACGTTATTTATGTTACACCTAATATTATTCTGAAATAAATATGATAGGTAGATAACCTTTATTGATTGTAACAGTATATTTATACAATATTTTATAGTGCCCTGAGTGACATCTCCACACACCATGGCGAGCCATGAATTACTGAGAGATCGTCACGCGTTCTCCCTCTCATATAGCTCCACCCACCTCCACTTACCCTTCAAGCCTTGGCTTGAATAATTAAAAGGCTCATTGGCATTCTTTTTTTGTAACTGATAGTCAAACTAGATTGCTAGTATTTTTTTCCATTTCATGAATGAGGCCTTTCCACTGCCTAGTTATTATGCTTGAAATCCTATCGATGATTTCACTGCCTCTTTCACTCTATCTTTTTCCTTCAAGATAGTGGAAATGGTAGAATGTGCCAGTTTTAAGTCATCGGCTATCATCTGCAGCTTCATACTCATTTATAAACTATTTTCACTTCAAGATCGAGAGCCTTCCTTCGTTTCTTGGCACTTCCTTCAGGTGAAGTCAAGATCTTCTTTTTCAATGACATCTTGTACTATGACATGCACAATAATGTGCAAATTTGAACAAATACCTAGTCTTGGAGACAGTGAAAGCTAGTGTACTCAGTGGCTGTAGAAAGGAGACTAAGATGCTTGATGCTGAGTTGATGTGTTGCCCATTTCCATGACCCAAGTTCTCATATGGCATAAAATGCAGACTCATGGGAGGACCTGAATGAATAAACTCAGTGAACAAGGTATGTCGAAAGTAATAATAATAATAATGAGGGGGGAAAAGGGTGAGTGGTGCACTTAGGAGTCTGTGGAGACAAAGAACTTTGTCCTTGGAGGCAAAGAGGGGAATGTATGAGAGTATAGTTTTACCAACGCTCTTATATGGGTGTGAAGCATGGGTGATGAATGTTGCAGCGAGGACAAGGCTGGAGGCAGTGGAGATGTCATGTCTGAGGGCAATATGTGGTGTGAATATAATGCAGAGAATTCGTAGTTTGGAAGTTAGGAGGAGGTGCGGGATTACCAAAACTGTTGTCCAGAGGGCTGAGGAAGGGTTGTTGAGGTGGTTCGGACATGTAGAGAGAATGGAGCGAAACAGAGTGACTTCAAGAGTGTATCAGTCTGTAGTGGAAGGAAGGCGGGGTAGGGGTCGGCCTAGGAAAGGTTGGAGGGAGGGGGTAAAGGAGGTTTTGTGTGCAAGGGGCTTGGACTTCCAGCAGGCATGCGTGAGTGTGAAGGCTTACTCAGCCCTGTAACAACTTCAGACAGTATTACCAAGGCTGGCTCCTCCTCAGGAAAATTAGTGAATAGAAAAAGAAATAATAACAGACAAACATAAACACTTTATTATATAGAAAATATAAAATATAAGACACTTAAACATGAAATATTAATCCTACATTAAAGAAAATGAAAAATGAAAAATATGAATAACTGAATTCAACGCTACTTTAAAACTTGGGTGTCTGGTGTTGGTGACACTGTGTTGTTGAAATTGTAGCCTTTATTGATGATAGGGGAGGGGGTCGCAGGTGTTGGTTACAACCCACCAGTTCGTCCTTCACAGTATAGCCATGAGTATGATATCCCAATGACAGGAAAGCAGGTTCTTTACCACTGCAATGATGAGGGGTTACGTCCTGCAATTTCATACAGGTGCACAGGTAATTAAATCCAAAAAGGGGAAGTCTCAGGACATTAGTCCATCTCCATCAGTTCTGCTCGTTGATTGGCAGGTGACCCTCTCTGTCATCCAAGAGTAGTGCTGGGAGCTGTGAGTCTAGTGATTACTGTTTGGACCGGAGCCCCACACGTCACCTTTCAAGGGGGGGGGAGAAGGAGGAGGAGAAGGGATAGCGGGAGCTAGACTGACCCTACCTTAACAAGCAGCCGGCAGTCAAACTA